TTATCCTTGCTGCGCTGTATGATGTGGTCACCCTGGTGCACCCATTCACCGTTGCATTTGAAGTAAATTTGGGTGGCCGGCACGGCCTTGCAGGTCAAAGTCACAGGTTTGTTTTTGACAATATAAACATCGTCAGGTTCTAGCAGGAAGCGAGGAAGCCAAGTTCACTTAACAACAGTGTTAATTACTTAACAACTCCAATGATTCACTTAACAACCGTGGCAAGAAAAGTCGTAAAATGGAACAAAAATCATTTAGCAAATGTCTCACTTAGCAACATCGACTTTGGGCTCAATTGTGGTCGTAAGTTGAGGGCTACCTGTACTAAGCAATATTCAGACCACGAACTCCCTCCATGCAGGATGTGATTCTGATTCTTCAGCACCTGCTCTACTGTCATTGCTACTACACCAGTTTCTAATTGTTTTGTTTCTGTCACCCAACACAGATGCACAACAAAGTGCCACCGTGCCCATTCCTGTGCCTGGCTCTGGTTCTGACCTGCTCCCCCACTTCCTGCTAGAACCTGACGATGTTTATATTGTCAAAAACAAACCTGTGACTTTGACCTGCAAGGCCGTGCCGGCCACCCAAATTTACTTCAAATGCAACGGTGAATGGGTGCACCAGGGTGACCACATCATACAGCGCAGCAAGGATAAGAGCACCGGTGAGTGCTGAAAGGGCATTGAGGCAGTCTATCAAAGAGAAGGAAAAGGATAGCTAGGTGGGACGTGTAAACGTTGAGCTGAGTAACATAAGGAAATCTGTTGGGTATCAGCATATGTTAAATTTAGCAGCTTCTCTTGTTTTCTGCACACACGTATTGCACTTCTACAGAGTTGTGATGTGTCTCTAAACTCTTTTCGGAGCCCCTGTAACCAATTAAATTTTCTTCCCCCCTTTTTTTTTTGCTCCTTGATGTTTTGGCAGGCCTACCCCTCATGGAGGTACGGATAGATATCTCAAGGCAGCAAGTGGAGAAGATCTTTGGCTTGGAAGAGTACTGGTGCCAGTGTGTGGCCTGGAGTTCCTCCGGCACCACCAAAAGCCAGAAGGCCTTTGTGCGCATTGCGTGTGAGTGATTTCCCCATCCGTACTCTTTCTCCTCAATTCTCCTGGATGTTTTCCCATCCATTTGCCAATGGATTCTATGGCTCCAGGGAGGAACAGCCATGGCACAAGTGCTAGGTGCACACTAAGGATCCCGGGTGCAACAGTGGCACTGCCAGGGACCAGATGAGTCTGTGCCACTAAAGAAGCAGCCTGGCATGATGGGGAGTCTGTATTATTGTCATTACACCACTCTGAGTTTCTTTTCTTTCTAGACTTGAGGAAGAATTTTGAGCAGGAGCCAGTGGCCAAAGACGTCTCCCTTGAGCAGGGAATTGTGCTGCCTTGCCGCCCTCCAGAGGGGATTCCACCTGCTGAAGTGAGTACTGCACATAACCTTCTCATTTTTGGCCAATCTGAGTAAATTATTGAAAGTCCAGTTGATGCAATAAATCCCAAGCATCTGATGGGACCACCAGATAGGATGCCAGAACTTTCCTCTTGCCTTTGGCATCTGCAGCTCCTGCCAGTCACCTAGGCTGGGTACTTGGTGTTCATCCTATTTGCATATTCCCCACCTGCTGCTTGACAGACTGCAGCTTCTCCCTTCTTTAAGCTCCCTTGCATTGCCTCTATCCCTCCCTTAGTCAATGTCTGTACATGTTTTCTTTTGGAACCCATTTCAGCCACTATATTTTAAGGCTTCTGACCCAATAGCACTATAGCACTTAGACATATACTGCTTCATAGTGCTTTTATAGCCCTCTCTAAATGATTTACAGAGTCAGCATAATATTGGCCCCAACAATCTGGGTCCTCATTTAACCCACCTGGGAAAGATGGAAGGCTAAGTCAACCTTGAGCCTGGTGAGATTTGAACTGCCGAACTGCAGCTAGCAGTCAGCTGAAATAGCCTGCAGTACTGCACTCCAACCACTGCGCCACCTTGGCTCAAATCAGAACCACGTGTGACTCTTGTGTTTTCTCAAGGTGGAGTGGCTGCGCAATGAAGAACTTGTGGACCCAACACTGGACCCCAATTACTACATAACGCTGGAACATAGCCTGGTGGTGAAACAAGCTCGCTTAGCGGACACGGGCAACTATACCTGCGTGGCCAAGAACATAGTGGCTCGCCGTCGCAGCTCACCTGCCGCCATCACTGTCTATGGTAGGACCTCTTCAGGGAATAGGGAGGGTGACCCTGAGAAAAAGGGGCACACGTTGTTTTATAACCCCTCCTGTGCATGAATCCCACCCTTCTCCAAGTTTTGTTCAGGTTGCAGAGGAAGGGGGAAGATGGATGATAATAGGATGGGACACTTTCAGCTATTTTATTTTTTTCTGTTGGTTGTGGGGTAACAGTGCCCAAAATATTGAGACCTTGCTTCTACTTGGGTTATACTATACCTAGTTATTTTGGGGATGTGAAGAAGAGCTTTGGAAGGAAGGAATTGTACTGCAGAGGAGGGTCATAGATGGTACCTTCTCAGACAAGGAGAAGGAAGATTGGATTGTAACTATGACTAAGGAGCACGTTATGCTCTCGCAGAATACAACAGAGGAAAGCAAAATGACCCTTTCCCTGTTCCTCTTAAGTGTTTGCCCCTCTGCTTGTGACGCCTCCTTGCATATCCCCATGTTTTCCTGTGTATTCTCCCCAAACTGTTCATACACACAAATGCACCAAGGAATCCTGAATTCTGGAGCCAGCAAGACAATGAAAAGGCTTGGCTACCCCTCTAGCCCTGAAAGGAACTCTGCTCCCAATGGGGGTGGCAAGCTCACTCTCCCGACCAGCTCTCCCAGGGCAGTCGTTGCAAGCTCTAGCTGATGCTGTCCCTTCCCCCCAGTGAATGGAGGCTGGTCGACGTGGACGGACTGGTCAGCCTGCAGCACCAGCTGTGGACGGGGCTGGCAGAAGCGGAGCCGGAGCTGCACCAACCCAGCGCCACTCAACGGGGGGGCCTTCTGTGAGGGCCAGAATGTGCAGAAAAGTTCCTGCGCCACCCTGTGCCCAGGTACTGCCCCTGCCACCCCGTGGGCTTGCTCCCATGGTTCAGTTTGCTGTGCTCCTTAGACTCCGAGCCCCTCACCCAAACCCCTGCCCAGGACAGTGGAGAAATGCTTAAGAAGCCGACATATGTGAAGCCTGTAACCATTGGAGCTGATCCACCCACTTCTGCTAATCTTCCTCACTCACAGTTCTAGACTTCTTCTGTGTTTCACCGCCATCCCCTGATGTGGGGTGCTCCCTGTTCACACAGTTCTGCTTACGCTCTGCTACTTCAGCCATACTTTCTCTCTCCCATTGCCCTGTTTCAAAAATCCAGCTGTTTTGATTGTGAATATGGAAGGATGCTGAGTGTGCCTGTGTTCAATTCTCGGAAGCAACAGCTCAAAAGCACTTGGTTCTTGCCTTGCTTTCCCTTCCCTCCCATTCGCTCTGCCTGTCTGCTTCAACCCATCCATGTGTCTGTGTTTGTCCTCTCCTATCTCGTAATTCTTCTGAGGCACGTCACAAATTTGAGTAGAACTCTTCCCCCTGCCCTAGTTAGGGTAGCTTCGGTAGCTGCCCCAAGATGTACAGTCCTGGCCCTTTCTCTGCCAAGGAGACATCATAGCTCAAGAGCATTCTCATGGATTGTGAGATTGTTAGAGCGATGCCTGCTGGGATGTGGTGGGGTGGGGTGGAACAAGGGGAAGATGTAGAGTTTACTGGGGTGGTGGGGTAAGAAAACCGTTGAGTTAGATTTTGGTTAATAAGTATTTATACTGCTTCCTTCTAACTGGCAGTGCCTGGTGGTTGGTCAGCCTGGAGCTTGTGGTCAGTATGTGGTGCTGACTGCACACATTGGCGCAGCCGTGAATGTTCTGATCCAGTGCCTCGTAATGGTGGGGATGAGTGCCAGGGGCCTGAACTGGAGACCCGCAACTGCACCAGTGAATTGTGCACGCACGGTGAGTTCCTGCCTCTTTTTTCATCTTTGGGAATGACTTTGACTGCTGCTACTAGAGATGTAAAGGATGTGGTGAGTTGGGTAGCAAATTTCATATTGCCGAGAAAAAAAAAAGCATAATCAGAGAGGGGAGATAGGACCAAATAACACTTGCCTATACTAATTTATATGTATGCTTACATACTTATAGTTTAAACACATAAAACACACCTTCTCATACCTGGGAAGACTGCGATCAGATTATTTGTATGCCAACTTTCCAAATGCTTATTAAAGATAAAGGCTTCCCTCGCACAGATGTGCTAGTCATTCCTGATTCTAGGGTGCGGTGCTCATCTCCATTTCAAAGCTGAAGAGCCAGCGCTGTCTGAAGACTTCTCCGTGGTCATGTGGCCGGCATGACTAAATGCTGAAGGTGCACGGAACTCTGTTACCTTCCCACCAAAGGTGGTTCCAATTTTTCTACTTGCATTTTTACATGCTTTTGAACTGCTGGTTGGCAGAAGCTGGGACAAGTAACAGGAGTTCACTCCATTACGCAGCACTAGGGATTTGAACCGCCTAACTGCCGACCTTTCTGATCAACAAGCTCAGCGTTTTAGCCACTGAGCCACCATGTCCCTTTTAAATGCTTATTACTAATGGGCAATTAATAGATCATCAAATTGTTGTTGGGAAATTTCAAGGGCCCAAATTCCTCTTCTTTAGAAACAGGCAGCACACCCTCACAGTCAGACTAGTGGATGCCTTCAAACAGAACTCAGCCCTCTTGGATAGAAGCAGGGAGTGTTCTGAATGTTGGAAAACCCCTTCAGGAGGCAGGAGGCTGACCAGGGTCTCCCCCTGAGGTTTGCTCTGAGTGGCTGGACATTCAGATTGAGATATCAGGGCAGCCAAGCCTATCAGCTCTAGTCCGCCTAGCCACTCACGCAGGAAGCAGCAGCAGCTCATTGCCCTTTGCAGACCGATTCTCTGCTGCCTAGTTTAACATGAGCTTGTGGCCATAGGCAATAAAGTAAGGACCCGCCTTAATTGTGGCCACCCCAGCACATCCCCCTCTTCCCTCATTCCCAAGACGACAGTTCAGAATTGCCTCCCAAAAGGTGAGCTCCTTGTTTGAAGCCTGGTGTGCCACCCTAGAGACTAGCCAGTTGGACTGCAGGAGGGAGAGCTCTGTGCAGGCACAAAGGAGAGGAAGAGTGAGTGACAGGCCCCATCCTGGCTCATTAACTAACTAGCTTGCTAGGTCTCCTAGGGCTTTTCTCTGCCTTTTATATCAAATTAACATTTTCACAGTTGAAGTGAAAGCAGTGTTCATCTTCCCTCCTGGGGCAGCTCATCCTGAATGTTTGACCTAGCTGGTGGTAGGGATAGGGGTGGAATTTAGAGGGACAGCAGGGCAAAAAATTAAGCCTTCCTTCCTTCCTTCCTTCCTTCCTTCCTTCCTTCCTTCCTTCCTTCCTTCCTTCCTTCCTTCCCTCCCTCCCTCCCTCCCTCCCATACATTGCTTCTTAAACTATTATAAACTGATATTTGAATATCTGGTTGTTTTCTGTAACACAGAAATGTTGCTTTCTTGTACGATATATCCTCCTGCTCACCACTCCCAAATAGTCCCTATTTTCTAGGCTTTTGTTTGTCTGCCTCTGTGGATGTTTCAAAGGACTGTCTGCACTCATATTCTCTTCTAGGTGTTAACATTTGGTTCATCTTCATGGCCAAACAAAAGGGGGCATGGGGAAGGGCAAGGAGCAAATAATCCATTCTCCCAAATAAAGACTTACTGCTTTTACTCAAAAACTACTACATGGAAATGGATGTTGTTTCTCTAAACCCAGTTTCACTTGCCTATTCTTAATGGCATTCTCTGCTGTGATGCCTGTTATGATCTTGAGATATGGTGTGGCATATCTCCACTCACATCTGAAGATAATTTGCTTGCTTGGATGATATTTGATAATCAGTATGATTAAGTATACTTAGTGATTTCAAGTAATAGTATTTTAAGCATTGTAATTCTTAACTATTAATAATTATTAATAGGCAGATTAACTTGCATTTTGTGGCAACCTAGGACTATGTGGTTCTGTGAAGTGGTTGTGATTATAGCAGAAATGACTGAGGCTTTTCTTTGAAGTACGGACAATCTCATTTTTGGTGAACAGGGATGGTGATATGATGAAAATTGCCAGGTTTATGGTTACAGGAGAAGGGAGATTGATAACTTGCTGCTCATTCCCACTTTGAGCCTGTGACCTCCTATCTCAGGAATAGGATTGCTGATTAAGATTGGCTTGGTGATAAACACTTGCAATAAGACTTTGTTCATCCACAACTTGGTAGTTGGTGAGCAGACAGACCTGGTTCAATGAAGTGAGAATTACGACCTTCATGGATAAACTTTTCCACCTTTCAGGTGTACCACCAATCTAGACTTCAAGCCAATGCTGATCTTGTTTGTGACCAAGGATTCTACTTCACAGGTGGCCATGTGTGAATATCTATATGTTAAATTGGGGCAGAGGAACAAGTCAGGGATCTTGCTCACACCAAGGTCACGCTGCTGCCTGACAGAATCCTTGCCCAAACTGCTCAGCCTTCTCATGGCACTAGTGTTGGAGTCTCCCTGCCTGTTATATGATTTTAATTTCAAGGTTATTGGATCTGTGTCAGGTAAAGCTTAGGTGTGCATGAAGACCTTGTGTTTGTCCAAGGAAATCTCAAGCTTGACCTGTATAAACAGCCACATGTTCAGTCTTGCTTTTGCCTTGAAGCAGTGGTGCAGTGATCTGAATAGAGAGCTTGCCTCTCTGAGCCTTTTGCCATCTCAGACACGGGTCCATGTTGGGTGAATAGAGTGATTATCCCAACGTGTCTTAGATCTGGAGTAGTTCCAAACACAGGGGGTTTCATGAGGAAAACTAGACACTTGTTGTGATTGTTTCTGAGCAGGCTTTCTTTGCTTGCTGATCCTGAATAGCAGGGAGCTCTGGGAGATGAAGTGACAGAAGTACACATGAAACACCCAGTGGAGGAAAAGTGAATTTTACTGAGCACAGGTAGAAGCTCAACTTGCAGCCTTACTGTGGCAGAAACAGAGGTGAATTGTTACAATTTCTTCCGCCTTATTTCATTGATAAGCTGTTAATCAATGGCTTCATCTAGGGTGAACAACGCCTTTTTGGAGGGCATGATGCTGGCCATTGCAATCAGTTTACACAGCACAGCATAGCACTTTTTCCGTAAAGTCCTTCAGATTTGCTGAAGTCTTGACTTTTCATGGGCAAAATGTGATGGACCAATTGGGGCAATATCTTACCATATTTAATTAGGTCTCAGGTGACTTTAGCTTACCTGTGGCCTCCTATGGCACATGGGAGAGCATGTCATGTTGGCTCCGAAATGTGCTTTCTTTTAGGTGGGAATAATGTCAACAGACCTGGAAAAGTCTATGATGTGCCACCTCCTTAAGAGGGTCTCTCTGGGTCCATCAATACTTGACAACTATCCTGTTTCTAACTTTTGTGTACAAGAACACAGCATTTTAGAGGAAGTTGTTACCCGCACCCTTTTCACTCAGGTTTCAACTCTGGGCAGGAATGGAAATGGCATTAATTGCTTATGTGGATGATCTTGTAATGGACAGTGAGAGTAACTCTGAGAAACTAGGCAAGGAGTCACAGGCTAGAGTCACTCATAAGTACTTTCAGACTTGCAACATTTACTTACTGTAACCTTACAATAAAGGTAGTATCATACTCATGGTCTTGGGTTCCTGTCTAGATTACCTTGAAGGGCTGTTAGATCTTTAGCAGGATCTTGGAGTCTTAGTGGACAACCAGTTAAATATGAGCCAACTGTGTGAGGCGGCAGGCAAAAAAGCCAATGCAATCCTAAATTGCATTAACAGAGGGATACAATCAAGATCAAGGGAGGTACTAATACCACTCTATCAAGCATTAATAAGACCGCACCTAGAGGACTGCATCCAGTTTTGGTCACCACACTAAAAAAAAGATGTTGAGACTCTAGGAAAAGTGCACAGGATAATTAGGGGACTGGAGGCTAAAACATACGATGAATGGTTGCAGGAACTGGGCATGGCTAGTCTAGTGAAGAGAAAGACCAGGGGAGACATGATAGCAGTGATCCAATATTTGAGGGGCTGCCACAGAGAGGAGGGGATCAATCTATTTTCCAAAGCACCTGAAGGCCAGACAAGGAACAATGGATGGAAACTGGCCAAGGAGAGATTCAACTTGGAAATAAGGAGAACTTTTCTGACAGTGAGAACAATCAACCAATGAAACAACTCGCCCTCGGAAGTTGTGGGAGCTTCATCACTGGGAGCTTTCAAGAAGACACTGGACTGCCATCTATCAAAAATGGCGTAGGGTCTGCTTGAGCAGGTGGTGGTAGTGTTGGACTAGATGACCTACCAGACCCCTTCCAACTCTGTTAATCTGTATCTAAATGGAGGTTATGCATCTCTCTTAGATCCATTGGACTTTGAGTAACTCATATTGATGTCCTGGACAACTAAGGAGGCTAGTAGAAGGCATTGGTGTATAGTGGTTCTGTTCTTTCCTTAATATATAATCTGTTTCTATGAAAATAAGAACCTACATATACATTATTTTAATAATATCACAAAAGTTTTTCAGCTGGAGCAGTTGGGAGAGAGCAGGGAAGGAGGAGCCTTCCCTGCTTCACATCCCAATCCAGCATTCTGTTTGAGAGACACACAGATTCCTGACTGACATTGGTTACTATTATAAATCAGCCACTAGTGCCCTTCAGATAATGGTAGGTTTCACTGTCCACATTTCCCCAAACAAGGTAAGTTGACATGCAGCACATCTGAAAAGAATCGTGTTAGAGAAGGCTATTTAATTAAATAGGGTGATGTAAATATGTTGATAATACATTTCTTAGGGGAATCTCTCCCCACACCCCATCTTCTGTGTTGATAGCATTATTTTAATTATTATGAAAGCTGACCATTACAAATATTCCTAAAATATATTGCTTGTTTTGCAGTTTCCATCTGAATTTCTCTTCCTGAAAATGTGGTCCTACCTTTCTAAGTTGAAAACTGAAATTAAGCTTCTGGGTTCTGGAGTTCTCATATTCTTTTACCTTTTTCTCTCCAAAATGCTCTCTGTATGAGAACAGACCTACAGCTGCAAGGAAGCGGTCAACCAGGAATTTCTTCTGAACAACAGACACAAGACCCTTGATGGGCCATATGTGATCAGCCCAAAGAAAAGCAATGCACGCCAGATCTCTTCCCTAAAAATTCCATTCCCTCGCAGACTCCATGAATAACAGATGTTGCACATCATGTCAATGAGTCTTAGGTTCATTCTCCTAGAGCAAATTCAATTATTTCCTACTGCATACTAAGAGCTTGGCACTGGATTCAATGTGCACCCCTCCTCTGTTCTCTTTTCTAGAAACTGGTGGCTCTGAGGATGTGGCTCTGTATGTTGGCTTGATTGCTGTAGCCGTGTGCTTGGTATTGCTGCTTCTGGTGGTAACCCTTGTCTACTGCCGGAAGAAGGAAGGGCTGGATTCAGATGTAGCTGATTCGTCTATTCTCACTGCTGGCTTCCAACCAGTTGGCATCAAGCCCACCAAAGCAGGTGAGTATCCATCTGCTCTTGGCACATTCTCTTAAGTGCTATATGGTAGATACTAATCCTTTTGGGCTCAGGAATGTGGATAAAGGGCAAGCAGTTATTTTGGAACCACATTCATCTGTAAATTTGTCAGGTTTTATTAGAGAGGTGGCTTTTCTTTCATTCTGTAGCGATAAGGAAAGATGTAACCACAATGCCTCTGACCATGCCTCTAAACTTTTATTATATCAGTAGAAAAGGAACAGCAGCAGAAACATGCAGGATAAGTACAGCGACAGCCGCTTTGCGGATGAGAGATAGACTGTTGAAGGTAGAGGATTGCTGGCATACAGGTGCACTTTGCTCACCTGACCTTTCTCTTCATCATAACTATACAAATTAGATTTGAAAATAGTCTTCCAATAGCTGAAGTGAAAGCTTTACATGTTAAATTGCAGCATGGTGCACTGCCTCCTTCAAAATTCATGTGTATCCTACTGCAGTCAACTAAAACAAAAGCTAAGCCTAAAACGGCATGGTTTAAGGAGCTTGCAGGCTGGGACGCAGGCTTCTCAGTTTTGAAGCCTTTTCATTTATTGATTTGTATAATAAACTTGCATGCCATGCATCTCACTGAAGTGACTTTAGCCGGCTTATGAATGTTCGTGATGCAGATAGGTTTTAATAAATCCAAACTGCATTCCTAACATGTGAGAGGGAAAGGAAAAAGGGAAGTGGAATGAATTTGATTTGGCTTACCCATTTTAACTTTTTTTTTCCCCCACACCAATTTTTCCAACTTTTTTGGCATGCCTCATACAACTCAGATGGAAGTGCGGCTTTCAGGTGAAAAAAAAATCCACCCATTTTTGTTCTGTTCTTGAATGTCTGTCAGCTGGAAGCCAAAACTACCAAGGAGATACACCACCAAGACTTCAGAAGTTGCCATGTCAGGAGCCTTTATCATGGATGGGGCAACCATGCCCTGTCTACAGTCTTCCAAAGTCTTAGGTGTAGCTTTTGCAGATGCCATTACTTTAGAGGTGCTAGTCTGGGGAAGACGGATGTAATTGTTTCCTGTTGTCTCTAAGCATTTCCCTAAAGAGGACACTGTGCAAAGCTACAAGAACATTCTTCTGGTTGCTCACTGTCCAGAACCCATGCTAGGTGTTTACGCCAGTCTTTCAGAATAAGTTTGGGAAAGCAGATTTTCCATTAGATAAAAAACATTTACTTCTGGTGTAAAGTAGCTATAGAAATGATATATGTAGGACTCTTTGGTATATCTCACATGCTAATTAGTCAAATACTCCTCTCTTTCTCTTGGTGAATGCCAGATTAAACCATAGGGAAAGAATCAAATAAATGTAACCGGATGTTCCACTATTTCCGAGATAGGTGACATTATTTTGCTCTTGAGATTTCAAAGTGTCCTCTATATAAAATGCCCCCCCCCCCCGACATCAATCAAGACAAATATTTGACCTTTTGGAACCAAGCCATACAATGCACATATGTTCACACATAACGACAGTTTAGTTTCAGGTCAAGGAATCATCCCTTCATTACCCCATCCTCCCATATTGTGACTCATGGTCTCAGAAACATTCCTTTTTTACAGTCTGATAAGTGACAAGATATTAAAATGACACGTGTATTCTGTTGATCTACATTTGGACTGCACAGATGGTTTCTGTAAGCTCTATTAACCCAAAACTCTGAGTCTAAAAAAGGAGATTACATTGCATCTTTAAAAAAAAAGCTGTCTTTGGGAAATAAAATGCATAACCTTATTAATGCAGAAAATGATGGTCTGAACAGAGATCTTTTGTTTCTCGGGTCATTGCAACAGTCTGTTACCCCTGCTGGTTAATGTATTTTATGCAATACTGTCTGATGAGATAATGTTTTGTGATTAGGCTGCTACATACCTGAGGTGACTCAAAATATCCGCATTTGCATCTATAAAGTAATCTAGCTTTCTGCAATATTAAGAACGAGCTAAGATTTTCCATTCTGCCAAGGAAGATTTTTTTAAAATGTTTTGTAACAAGATGTGTGTCTTTACCTCCACAACTGATCCCATTGTCATTTCCATCTTTCTACCACACAGATAATTCCCACCTGTTGACCATCCAGCCTGATCTGAGCACCACTACTATGACCTACCAAGGCTCACTGTGTTCACGCCAGGATGGGCCTGGCAAGTTCCAGATTGGCAACGGGCACCTGCTTAGCCCCCTGGGCAGTGGACGCCACACTCTTCACCACAGCTCTCCCAGTGCTGATCCGGTAGACTTTGTCTCTCGATTCTCGACCCAGAGTTTCTTCCGCTCCTTGCCCAGGGGTGGTGCCAACATGGCGTATGGAACATTCAACTTCTTGGGTGGACGTTTAATGATACCCAACACAGGTGAGGGTGACAAGTAGAGAAAATATAGGGCTGGCAATATGGAGGGTGGCTACAGTGGGAGCAGCAAAGCTTTCTGATGCTCCGATTCTGCTCTGGATCAGTACTTAAACACAGGCATCCAAGGGAAAGAGTTTTCCTTCCTAGGATTCCTAGATTCCTACGTGGAAAAAGAAACATTTTCATAGATAAACTCAACAGAAGAAGATACACTGTTTCCCCCTGAGAGTTCTTCTAAGGAAGGGATTGTTCATTTCCTCTTCCCTGCCTCTTTTAGCTAAGCAGCCTTTGACCAAAACCTATTCTTCAGTGTCAGCTTGCCTGTGAAGTTGGAAGGCAGCTTGCCTGCAAGCAGTGTGGGTGGGACTCCTTGAGCTATCTTGTCTCTGTCTTTTAGGTGTCAGCTTGCTCATCCCACCCGATGCCATCCCACGGGGGAAAATCTATGAAATCTACCTAACGCTGCACAAGCAAGAGGATGTGAGGTACATAGCTCATTTCCTGAAAACCCCTAGAAATCCTGGGACACTTACCTATACTTACCTGTAATTTATCATGTCCACAACATGCGCCTACATCTCCGTTTTTGTAAAACTTCATTGGGAACCATTACAGGCCTATGCCCTTTCTATCCTCTAATTTGAAACCAGGTATATAACCCCGTGAGAATCAAAGGATGCTGTGGGTACCTGTGTGCCAACTGATATATGCCATGGTCTTATTAATCTGCAGTCATGCAGATGGACATGCCAAGATTTGTCTCTGCTGATGTAGTGGGTACCACTGTATATAGATAACATTGTCTCCTTTGATGGCAATTACTCTCAGTCCTTTGTATAGTTGGTGTTCTCAAGCCTACCGTGGTATGGCCTGAAATAAATAGTGATGTAAAATAAATAGTACATTCACATAGATAGAGAGGCTAGTCTTGAAGCTAGTTTTCATTGAAAGGAGTAGAAATATTCCCTGCATCAAGCTCATAGGGGAAGATAATATAATAAAAAGGATACAACCTTTATTAGGACCACCAAGCTATTTCTAGAGGTATTTATGCCGCAGTGTCCATGCTATTTTAAACATATTATTTAATGTTTGTCTCTTGGCTCTTTGCAACTCATTCTTCCTTGTTCTTGTTGCTCAGGGCTGTGTCAGCAACAAGCACTGATAGGCCGCTGCCATGCGGGCTTGTTTACTTCCCAGAATCCCCTTGGTGCTATCTAGGGGCAGAGATGATAGAGTTGATGGGGATGTCTAAATTGGGCCTGCCCTCAAGCATTCAGGTTAATCGCCTTCTTTAAAAAAGTTAGTGGAGCTGCCAGCAGAAAGCACCCTGCAGGCTGCCCAAAGTCGAATAACTGGCTACCAGAGCTTAACTAGTAAACATGTCCCAATCCTTTCTTCTTCCCAGTTTCTGCTGGAAGAAAGATGCTCAGCAGTGACATTTGTTGCTGTATGGTCAAAACTCTTCTGGATTTTCTTCTTGGCAGAAATTCCCCAGTGATAATCCCTTGCTGTAACTGGGAGAGTTCTGCTGTTGCCAGGATTATTGTATTAATGCTGATCTTTGATGCACTTCCTGATAACTCCTAATCTCTAAAACCAAAGAATCATCTCTGGGTGTATTATTGTCATAATACTTGCTGATATTAACCCCATTCTATTTCTTCGTGTTGTATGTCTCTCTCCCTCTCCTTCACCTGAATTAATGGGGTTGCAGGTCCTGTTTCTTTTCTGTTTCAACTGGGATTATGGTCAAGAGAAAGTAGCCGATGACCGGATCATGAAGTTGGGGGAGTTCTTAAGACCCTTCCTTGTATTACCGATGTTTCTCTCTCTTGCAAGGCTTCCGCTGGCAGGCTGCCAGACTTTACTGAGCCCCATTGTTAGTTGTGGCCCTCCGGGGGTGCTGCTCACCAGACCTGTTATCCTAGCCATAGATCACTGTGTGGAGCCAAACCCTGAGACCTGGAACCTGCGCCTCAAGAAGCAGTCCTGTGAGGGCACATGGGAGGTGAGGCCTCACCTGGAGTATACATGTTGAGCAACGCATGGGTTGTTGCAACATTGGGACTACAGGTAGTCCTCGACTTACAACAAACCATTTAGTGACCATTCGAAATGACGGCACTGAAAAAAGTGACTTACGACAATTTTTCACACTTACCACCTTTGCAGCATCCCCACAATCACGTGATCAAAATTCAGATGCTTGGCAACTGTCTCACATTTATGACTGTTGCAGTGTCCTGGGTATTTTTGCCGCCTTCTGACAAGCAAAGTCAGTGGGGAAGCCAGAATCACTTAACAGCTGTGTTACTAATTTAACAACTGCGGTGATTCACTTAACAACTCTGGCAAGAAAGGCCGTAAAATGGGGCAAAAATCATTTAACAAATCTCACTTAGCAACAAAAAATTTGGGCTCAATTGTGATCGTAAGTCAAGGACTACCTGTATTTTATGCAAAACAGATGAATGTCATGCCAAATATACTACATTTAGCAATCTATAAAACATGTTAATATCCAGCAGCCTCTCCTGTTTTGTTTTGCAAAACATACATTGTTTCTAAGTAGTTCCCAACACTTGAGGCCTAACATCCAAGGGTCTCCTTACTCTGGAAAACAGCCACAACAGTGGCTGCTTTCTTGATAATAGCCGTTCAGAATTCTCCGTGGAAAAGCTGCTTGGGGCCTATATTAATATATCTTCACACCAGGTGAAGTCCTTTTCTTCTCCTAAGTTTCTTAATTTAATGTCAAAATATCCTCAAACGGATATTAATTATTTAATCGTTGCTTTAATATAATTGGCCTGCTTTGCTACAAGAGGGTTTTCCCCTAAATCTCTGTGTTTTTGTTTCAGTGGATTTGTCTTCAGTGCTCTGCTATTATATATGCATTGATTTCTCGTTTTGCACTGTATATATGATTATTCTTCTCCCAGATAACACCAGTGATGAGGTACTCAGAGCTACTCCAAATAAATTAAGTAAACAACCAAGAATAGCACTGACTCCCCCCTACCCACCCTAAATGCCATGAATCAATCATTTGTCTGGTTTCCTTGGATATTATTTTAAGCCCGTTTTCCCAAAGCTAGGCCTTTGCCTTGTTTTTCTAAAAAATAATAATAATGAAATCTAAATTCTGCCTCAAGTGCTCCACTGTATGGTTTTGCTTTTTTGCAGAGTATACACAGCCCTGTTACACTATATAATGGGTTGCATGATCCCCAAGAGAGAATCTCACAGGCTTCTCTGAGGAGGCAGTTCTAGTTTGTGCCTTGCGCTGAGGGTTTGGATACAACCAAGGCTCTTGGAGCAACTGAATGTAATACAAACAGTGTGGATGCTGCAAAACAAAACAAAAACCAACAACCCACTCAGGCTTAAGTTGCAGTCATTACTAGCTAGACCAGTGAAGCACTGTTGTGACTCCACCTGTGCCAAGTGATATGTCGACCTGCCATTCTTTGTCACGTGTTCATTCGATGCCCTCTTCCACTATCTCTGGGATTGCCCTAATCTCACTTTCTCTCCCTCTCTCTGATATCGATGTGTATGTTCTGCTCTTTTGCCGTTCCTCTTTTTCTGATTGTGGCGATTGTCTTCCTTTCCTACCTTTTTAGGATGTACTGCAGTTGGGAGACCCAGGATCTTCTGAACTGTTCCATTGCCAGTTGGAACCCCAAGCGTGCTATGTCTTCACGGAGCAATTGGGCCGCTTTGCGTTGGTGGGAGAATCACTCAGCATGGCCGCCTCAAAGCGCCTGAAACTGGTTCTCTTTGCACCCACAACTTGTACTGGGCTGGAATATGATGTCCGTGTATATTGCCTCAGTGACACCCGTGATGCACTTAAGGTACTCCATCAGGAAGCACTTCCCCGTGCAGTCCTGTGAAGCCGCTTTCCATAAATCCCACATATGTTGGAGTACAATGTGTTCTACTTCTTTTCAAGGACTCATTATTTGTTCATTTGTACTTGAGTCGTTTTGATCACGTAGCCGGAGCACAACTTAAATAAAACAATCCCAGCCTAATTGCGGGATTAAGGCTGTGCAGATCTTCAGTGGTGTACTTCATTTCATCAGACGGTGGGGCAGAGAGCCCCTTTGAAGCAATGCAGCAAAGCATAATGGCGCCATGTTTTTAAAGTAGTTGAATGAGGGTGTATTATTATTATTTTATTTTTTATTAATAAAATTTATATGCCGCCCAATCCCGAAGGACTCCGGGCTGCTTTCAAAAAAGAAGAGGAAGAAAGAAATAATTAAAAAAAAGACAGATTTAAAATCACAACACACGCATTTGTTCTAATCGGGGCTGGACCTCAACTTAGAACTGCTTCCCTTAGAAGTGGTTATTTCGGTGTATATATAGCACACACCAAAGATTTTTTTTTTTAGCGAGAAGACTGGTTAATCCAGGCGACTGGCTGACCTTGATTGTAGAGGCACAATATGTGGTGAAGCCTTGTACAAAGGGAAATTTGTTCATTATCCACACAAGAAGCTTAATTTCTCCCTATGCAACTGTTCAGCCTTACCCAAAATAACTCGTTCCTTCTTCTAGTATGCTAATATTTTCAATTGAGGAATTTTGTTTCCACAATGTAGAATCTCCAGGGTTTAGATTCAAGCTCCACAACATAACAGAGCTGGAAGTGTCTTTCTAGCTCATCCAGTTCAACCCCATGATCAGTGCAAGAATCCAGACTAAAGCATCCCTAGTGGATGGATGGCTACATTAACATCCAATGAAGAGACGACACCATCATTTGGGGAAATTTCTATTAGGAATCCTGTATTTCAAGCCAATGGTTGACTTAGCAGCAGTATGCTATAGACCAGATTCCAGAAAAGAGACAGGGTTAGGAAAGCATGTAATTTGTTTTATATTTATATTTAATAAAAATGGATTGAATTAATAAAGTTGCTCCCCATATTTAGTAATTTCCACTTTCTGTCCCATTAAGAATTGACTTTTTAAGAAATGTAGAAAAAAATTGCAAACACAACTTGACTATTTATCGTAGGCCCTAAGGGTGATCAAAGATTAAGTCTCAGCTGGTTTTTCTTGGGTGATGTAATGTCTCTGGGACTAATTGTGACCCTCTTAGTGTTTTGTGGGTAATTTTTTAATTGTAAGTGACTTGAGTCATTGGGTAGCCTATAAATTTTATGAATAAATAAACTCCAAAATGCAAAAATTATAGGGTCATGATACATCTTTGAAGACTCAGGTTTCGTATCCCTTGCATATTCAGTCAACGGGCAAAACTTTCAGCCTTGAGAGCCACATATAATATCTACAACTAATTTAATTCCTCTACATTTAGACATGCATGGAATGCCATCTCTCTCTCTCACACACACACACTTACATGTGCATATTTTTTTCACCATCACCACCACTATCTTCTCACACATTGTCCCTCTTGAAGAACTGAACTGTAGCTTAGTAACCATAGGATAGAATTTGCTTCTTTAATTCCTCTCAATTAGGCATGTCCCCTGTGTTCATACCATTACAGGAAGTGGTACAAATAGAGAAGCAAATGGGTGGACAGCTGATCGGTGCACCCCGAATCTTGCACTTCAAGGACAGTTATCACAATCTGCGTCTCTCCATCCATGACGTGCCCAGTTCACTGTGGAAGAGCAAGCTCCTAGTCAGCTACCAGGCAAGGTTTCTACTAATCTTGGGGTTATTTTTATCCAGGGCAATGCTGATTCTTTGTCTGACAGAGTTACTCTTGCTCTTTTATGCCCATATTCTTTACAAAACTTGAACAAAGTTGTAACCACCAATCTGTCTAGAGTCTAGGAATATCACCTTCTCAAGCCAAGAAATTCTAACTGTTCTCTTTTTGCAGTGGTTTGAAAAGTGATTTGGAATATATGAGCAGCACACATCACACTTGTTACTACCTCCTTAAGTCAACCATGTTGCTTCTTGGATTAGATACAGCTTCTTCAAATAATTGTTTACAAATGCAACATGAATGTATACATAATTCCCCTTTGAATCCGCATTGCTGAACAATCCAGTTACTAGTCAATTTGGGAACAGACAGCAGTTATGCATCTGCTATTTGGTACCAACCTGTACTTGGTTCAGCTGAGGCCGTTGGCGCTTGTAACTTCAGCCAAGAAGCCTTTTCACAATCCTTTAGAAAAACATCATCTTGTAATTTGCATCTGGCCTTTCCCCTTATAGGAAATTCCCTTCTACCATCTTTGGAGTGGGCTGCAGCCCTATCTACACTGTACCTTCACGCTGGAGCGACTCAGCACCAACACATGCCAATTGGCATGCAAAATTTGGATCTGGCAGGTGGAGGGTGATGGGCAAAGCTTCAATATTGACTTCAACATTGCCAAGGTAAGGGCAAGAATACAATGAAGGGAGATTGTGAGAACTTCTGTTAACTTCTTGGCTGGGTCTCCTGTGCTGGCAGAGGAGGGATTAGACTGGATGAGCTCTGTTAACCACACAATGGAACTCTGCAGGTATTTTACCGAGTACCTATTACCTATCTTTTGAATAGCTTTCATGTTCCTTATGTGGCTTTCTAGCTAGAATATCAGATATGATCTCATAGAGGTACTATGTAGAGGTCCTACATACTTAAAGAGTGGACATCAGAGATTTGTGTCATGAGATTTTGTCTTGTATACAGTCCTTCCACCGGTCATGTTTTTTTATTATAAAAACCAATACCAAGCCATCTGTGTGCTCAGAAAACAATAAGTTACAGACCTGTTCTTGCAAATATTCCTGACTTCTTAAGTTACAGTTCATGAGTCAGGATGACTGTTAGGACTGCATTCTCATCTATATTATGTCCCTTTCCTCCTCGTGTGTCATGCCCACTTTGTTGGAACATAGGGAGTGAAATGAAATAACCAGAAATAGGCTACCCTGTACCATGTAGGGCTTTGTAGGTGATAACTAGCATCTTGAATTGCATCTACAAACCTACTGGGAGCTAGCAGCAACTCCCACATGACCTTCAAGGCAGTGCCATGTAGTTTAGCCAAGAGATGATTAAGGCATGAATGAAAACAGGTGCAGTTAACTCGTTAGATGCACAAAGGACCAGGCTGCCACATGTTCTTTAAGCAGGAGCTATGAGTTTAACAGGAGTCTCAAATTGCACACTGAGTCTGAGTGGAAAACTGTTATCCCATTTAAACCAAAGATGGAAATTTTCAGTTCCTGGGTAAGGAAAGCCCAAAACCCATACCCACTGTTGTATTGCCAGAAACAAGGAACATCAATTTAGTGTTGATTTATAATGCAGAATTTTAGCCATATTCTGATTTTTGTCTTAATAGCCTGTGTAGTCAATTAACCGTAAATCAGTAAGTCCCATGCCAGATACAACAATGGATTTGGTGAAATCAGATCTCTGCACTAATAGCCAACAATTAGAAGTGCAAGGAAGAGCCATATAGCTTTTTTGCTCCTCCCTAGCTTCATAAACTCTGGCCTATAAAGCTGGAGAACTTATATTTCATACAAAGAGGTTTCTAATAACCTAGAGTATATGGAGAAATGCTTGAAAGCATATGACTAGAGCTTGCTGAAATTTCAATGGCTAGAGGAGTGGTCAGAAAGTTAGACTCCATTTTTTGTTTGAGAAAGCAAACAGAGTCTATATGTAGGATCTAATAATTGTCTCTTTTTCTAAGGATGCACGGTTTTCGGACTGGCTACCCCCAGACAATGAGGCTGGCTCTCCTGCCCTGGTGGGCCCCAGTGCCTTCAAGATTCCTTTTCTTATCCGCCAGAAAATCATAAGTAGTCTGGATGCCCCAGTGGCTCGTGGGGCTGACTGGAGAGCATTAGCCCAGAAGCTGCACCTTGACAGGTATAAGGATTCTTTCTATAAATGTGTAGTAGTATAGAAGATGGTACTTGCTGGTACAGAAATATGTGAGCTGGGTAGTAATGTGGGCTTTGCAATTCTGATAGCTGGGGAGGTTTGCAATCACAGAAATGCTGGCGTTTTTTATTTGTATTTCCCTCTTTCCACAGCCATCTCAGCTACTTTGCTTCAAAACCAAGCCCAACAGCCATGATCTTGAACTTATGGGAGGCACGTCACTTCCCCAATGGAAACCTCAACCAGCTGGCTGCTGCTGTGGCTGAAGTGGGCAAGCAGGACAGCTCCCTTTTCATGGTTTCAGAAGCTGAGTGCTAAAGCCCTAGGCAGGGACAACACAGGCCTCAGTCTGGAGATGATGAGGGGGCACCTCCATTTCAAGGGTCACAGCATCTGTACTTGTCCTGCTTTGAATATGCCTGTGTGCCCTATCTGATCCTTGTGCCAAATTCAGCCAGAAGGCAAACACACTGGGCTCAGTCTCCAGAAGCCATGGAAAAGGCTACCAAATCCCTACTCTGCTGCTACCAAAGCAGTTCTGGAACTGGTTGGGGTAGGTCTGTTTTTCTACCAAGTAGGCTGGCAAGCAAGTCTGATATGCTGACATCTGGCTTGGATAATTATTCTAGAGCTTTCTTCTACTCTAGCATGGGAAGCAAAAGGAGAGGAAGTGGTTAGCACAGAAGTCATTGTGAGTGACCAGGATAAAAGGTAAGCTTTGCTTTGAAGCTGAGTCATCTGTGTTCGGTCCACTGCATCCCCTAGGAAGTCCTTTGCCATAATAAAGTTTTAAAAAAGAGGGTAGCTCAGGATAGTTCCAGAGCCATTTTTGTAAATGTTTGCTCCAGCCCAGGAGGTATCTGACACTCAGTCAGAGAGGGCAGCCCAAGAGTTGGTGGCTTGCAGACACCTGGAGACCCATGGGACAAGGAAGAAACAGAAGGTCAACCAAAGGACGAGGGCCTTGCTCTCCTGGTGACTGTATCTGTGCCTCCTTAGTCCTTGCCCAGTGTATATGCAAGGGATTTGTGCGTGTGCGTGGAAGTCTGATCTGTGCAGTGAACGTGTGCTGGACCAGGCAGGTCTATGCCGTATTGTGTAAAGATCGTTTTTTATTCTGTATTCAAGTGCATTCAAGTATTTACACTTGGCCTTATGTACATATCAGCGTCTCGCACAGGGTTTTGGCGGGCATGAATGTAAATAAATTATATATATATATATTGCTACATGAGGCTTCTTGTATCTCTCCTCATACTTCATCAATAGAAGCATGAATTCTAAAACAGGCAGCCAGAGTTTGTAGCTTGAAGTATTCAGTTGCTCTCCTGAGCACCTTAAGGATGTGGAAATGATGAGGTTATGAAATTACTTTCATATTAGCCTCCTCTACCATAGCTAACTGGATTAAGCTCTTTGGAAAAAAATAATAGCCTGAGAATCCAAGAGGCAATGGAGTTTGGTTTATTTCCCTCCTTGCTTTGAGCGTGAATCAGAAACGTTAAAACAAAACTGCAAAGATGGAGTACCACAGCTACCGAAATCTGGCTTTCTGCAATTTTGTCACAGCTACCTTAAAGAAGAATAAAGTCCATGCTGCAGATCAAGACCTGCATCTAGTGAAGAACAATCCAGTCTCCTGCTTATTAAGAGACCTTTGTACGGCAGGCCACAGCAGCAATGAGTGCAGCTCCCTTTCCTGAACCATCCTCTGACAATAAGAATTTGACATTGCAGTTTGGAGCCAGCAGAGCTACTGTATCCTGAAGTTTTTTTGCAAAGCTGTAGATAGAAAGAAATACTATCATGGGAAAAAGAACCAACATTTAGCCCAGAATCAAGCAAACCCCGTACCATCAACACAGCACCTGAGTTAACACACCACCTGGAAATATTGGCTCTTGCTGTTTACTCCTTTTTCTTTTCCATAAAATAAAGCTAACTTACATTGCAAGCTCCACATATCCCAAAGATTATATATATATATATATGCCCCCCATTATGCAGAAAAGTCAACTCACTAAGGGTTCATCTTATACACTGTCCCATCCACGCCAACCGTCACCTCCAGCTTTGTCATGCGCTTATTTTCTCGAATCTTTTCTACAACAGCTGCCACTGCAGCTGCACACATCATAGCAGCTCGTGAAGTCACGGTATGACACACTTCCTTCACCACTTTGGCGTCCTCAGCAGAAACGGGCAAACCCAGATCTTCCAGGATGTGATAAACATGTTGCCGGCTTTCGCTGTCACTTAATGATATTAGAAGTAGAGACAGAAATTTGTTCTTTACTGGCCTTACAATAAATGGAAATATGGGGATTCTGGCAATGTCAACTGGGCCTCCTTTTAGGCATATTCATTCTAAAGAAATTGTATGACCAACTGTGATCAGTAATATTTGGCATATTTTAAACAGAAACATGCACAGTTCCAAATAAATAATGTGTAATGCATCCATGATCACTCTATAGTCATATACCAACTTTCCTATTTTCTAAATCTTATTTTGATCGACATTTGACAGAATGTTGACACTAGGGCAGATGCAGTCTTCATTAAAAGGAAAGACCAAGGTATATATGAGAAAGCCAAGTAAATTCACTCCAGGCAGAAAGATGAATAGATAGAATAGTAAAACCTAAAACTGATAACTTTAGGCATTTCAACTGCATTGGAATTTAAATTCTACATCTAATGGCAAGTTTCCTAGTATTAGGCAAAATAATTACAGACGGTAGAATATATAAATACTTACTTCTCAATGTCTGATAACAATTTAGTGGGAAAGATGCCTTTGTTCTGAAGTCCTTGTAACGTATGACCCCTAAAGATGATCTCGCGAGACGCTAACTCCAACAGAACATAGCGCACTATCTCACCCAAATACATGCCACTAATCATCTTCTCTAATCTGTGGGACATGGAAATCAGTATCATACAAGGAGATGACCTTGCAGACAGCCATCACCACAGACCCCACCAGTCAATCCCCAATAAAAACTACAGAGTCACCTTTGTTGGCTAGCATTGAGAGATTCTTTATCCACTATGTCATCATAAGATGTTATGTAGTGGTCAAGACAGCCATCATCTCCAAATGCCCCACATTCCATATTGATGCACATTCTGCCATCATTACTCTCCAAGGCGCCCACATTCCTCATTTCTTCCATATAGCAAGCATTGCATCCAGTTCCTTAAGGTAAAATAAGAGGGAAAATGAATTATTGCTCAAAATTGACTATCATACTTTTCTCCATTCTGACCAAGAAAATACCAAGGATATTTTTTTTAAAAAAATCTGACCAATTATCTTTGCATTTTAAATGCATTAGGAATATAGTCTTATATATCAAGGATTAATGGTCTGGAACAAAAGGACATGTAGCCAACAATGCCAAGGCACAAATAGGGGAAGGACGAATCTGCACTTAGGAAAATATCCTCCTGAACTTCAAAGATGGACTCATTTACACAATCTTACTATTTATAAAGAGAGGCAGCTAAGTGGCTCAACGGTTAAGATGCTGGGCTTGTCATCTGGAAAACTAGAAGCCCAGGTTCAAGAGCCAAGTACCATGTGACAAGGTCAGTTCGTGTCCTCATTCCAGCTCCTGTCAACCTAGCTATTCGAAAGCATGCAAATGCAAGTAGATAAATAGGTAACACTTCATTTATTTGTTTGTTTATTTATTGGATTTATATGCCGCCCTTCTCCCAAAGGACTCAGGGCGGCGTACATAATTAAAAAAAACAAAACAAATATTACAAAAGTTAAAAAGGAAATTAGATAGAGTATCCAAAAACAAACCTAATTAATATTAACAATAACATCTTAAAA